ATCAAATGCCGAGTGATAGACTTTTTTGCCGTACGAAGATGCGTTGTCCAGGGTGCACCACGTGGATGTAAGTCTTTCACGCACCCCAGCTCGATAACATTTTCAGGCTCAAATATGCTGCCAATGGTGAATTGTAAGTTCGACTTTGAGTAGAACAAAGTACGTTTAAGATCTCGCGAGTGGTATTGGGAAAGGACAGAGATGTTTTTCTACTCTGAGTTGGACAAAGTGAAATGTGATCTTGGAGGCCGGAATGCAACTGATGTTCCCCAGATTACCGGATGTGTTCTGAACATTCACGAGTCTGTACTTTACAATTCATTTCCTATAGTGTGTTCTAAGTTTGGGAGTAATAGACTAGTGTCTGTTTCCAATACACCTCGACATATTGTCCCAGCCCTGTTGACAGGGCAACAAAGGAGTGTCAAAGTGGCTCCGAAACAGACTCCTCTGTGAAAACTCATCTCACAGCTAATGAAATTCAACAATAGCTTCGAGGCCAGTGTGCATGAGTTGGAAGAAACGAGAAGTGATCCTTCATTGAATTTCCAATAACGCGAATGGGAGGGATCTGGAGTTCTCCATTGAAGGACCTAGTTCGGAGAGCTCAAATTCGATTTGAAATAGATGGCTGGTGAGAGACAGTGTGATTTTGATCCAGAATCGCAATGAGCAGTCCATCTCGCGCAAGTGCGCGCTAGTAAGAAGAAACGAGAAGTGATAACTGCCAAAACGCCTACCATTTGATATATATATATATATATATATATATATATAAATATGCGAAACGGATTTAAAAGTTTAGTTGGTGTGTTCCTCACCCAGACTGAAACTCTTCCTGATTAGTTAAATGAACACTCCACTCGCCTAAGCTCTCCATCGAATGATAAGCATCAAGTCAAAAGAACTAATAGCAATAGAAAAATGCGATCGATTGCGCTCATTGCTAGGTAACAAGCCAAGCTTTCAGAAATATTTATAAGAAAAGACAGTATTTGTACGCGAATGTATAAGTAAAGTGTGATTGGTGTTGGTTAAGAGGCTGCTCTAAACCTCGGTCGGTAGATGATGCAAGACCGATAGAGCCGATTAGAAAACGAATTTGTTGGATAAACTCAAGGAGGTATTTATTTATTTCAAATGGCAGGCGTTTTGATAGATATCATTATCCATTTAGCTGACTTCGGGCTTCACAGAGAGGAGGAGGAACATCAAAGTATGACAAATTCGAGAAAGGGAACAGAAGAATGATTCACGGATGTAAAAGGGGGACAGACAGAGGCAAATGCAAAGAATAGGTAAGATGAGTACTGTAGAAGTGGTGGAATATGACATACAGTGGAGTCATGGTAGTTTGTAGTTTAAAGTCAACTGCCGGTTAATAGACTTTTTTGCCGTTTGAGTATACGTTGCCCAGGGTGCACCACGTGGAGGTAAGTCTATCGCGCACCCCACTCAAGAAAAATGAAATCAACAATGCACAGGTGCTTACACAAATTATGGTTAAAATCGCCTCCAATTAAACGGAAGAAGAAGAACGTGAATAAAACTTAATCAAATGGTCTGATATTATGGATCCGAAAATCACATTTTGTAGAAGATACTATTAGCAAAATGACCGTATGCATAATTTCGTTAACGGGGAAGATATCCTCTGGTGACAGTTAATTAGGGGTTTTTACAAATATCAGAGATAACCCTTCTTCGAGACTCGGTGATTTACGTTTGACTAACCTCCACTAGCCATGAGGTGTATCCAAGTTCTCTCTCTCATAAATTCTTCATTGATAAATGCCAATCGAACGTTGTTAACCTCAATTGCATTAAATGCCGACGAAGCTAAGCACCTGTCCATTTCCTCTTATCGCTCTTAAATCACGTTAATTCTTACCAAGCTGGATCTAACCCAGGAAACTCACGTTTTCTTCCGGTGGATTCGTATTCAAGTCGGTATAACCAATACCACCAGCCTGATACTCGTCAAAATTTAGCCCCAACGTGGTCTCGCTCTTGCATTCGCAGACTAAATGCGCAACTTGTTGCCATCTTGAAAAAATCAAATTCTCGAATGGCAAGGAGAAAGAGAGATAGCGCATTGGTTCATGGCGTCGACACATCCAATCACATCTGGCAACCATTTGTCAGAAGTCTCTAACAAAGACCTAGAAAAAATTTTAACGAAGGTGTCTACACATCCCTGCACGACAAGATAATGCACAATTTGTATGCTGGTGTCAACATTTCGGTGCTCCATCGGAAACATCACTGACAGAAGGTATAAAGTTATATCTTCAAAGGTAATTCCATAGTTAACTGAGATTAACCAGGACGCATGTATTCTCTCCCAATCCGCTTTGAAGTCGTCAAATTTTGAATATCCAGTAGAATAATAGGCACCATTGCTATCTAAAGGGTTTGCAGAGAACCCCCCCCCCTCCTCTTAAGGTTCTAGATGAATCCGACGTGTGAAAAGTAAAAATCAATAATCGTTATGGCGAGGTGTTCGATACCAATATATGTCATTAACACTTTTCCGTATTGAAGTTCTTTTTAACTAAGCATAAATACATAATATTTATTGAAATGGACGATTTTGCTGTCGTTGTATTTGGCAGTACTTTGAAGGAGTTTTGAGTCTCAGCACCAGAAAGCATCTTAGTAGAGACAGGTGCATCTTTAAGATTGGGTGGTGTTGAAGAAGAAACAGTGGTTGTCGATGCGTTAGGAACACCAGAAGAAATTGTAGCGCCAGCTTAGCAGAAAGAACCCCCATTTATCCGATAAATTATCAAAAGAATAAATTTGCAAGGAATTGACCAATTCACTGTTTTGTTGAGAAACCAATGACCTGTCGAATGTAAAATCATCGGAGTTGGCCTCCAGATTAGTCACAATTCCTCGAGTTTAATACTAATGACACAATATCAATCGAGGTAATCCCATTTATTCAGAATTTTGCAGATCAATGATCTTTTACGAGCGCAATTACGCACCTTTTAGCAAATATGCAAAGTTAATGAATAACTGGCGCCAAAATGTTAATAAAATTGACCTACAGACGCAGCTGAATAAGTCAATCGTAGTCGTATGCCAAGCAGGTCCTCAACAGGAAAGAATACGAAATTTGGATGTTGATGAATGATGCAGGAAAATCAATAAAGGGGGTTGGGACTACGAGGAATTTGTCGGCTGATTATGTAAACAAGATTATGGAAACTATTATTTTTCACTGCATGTCTTTGCTCCTTTGTGAAACAGTACTTCTTCTGTTAATTGTTTACATCACCTGAATGGTGAAAAAAAGCTTTATTTTACAATCTTCCGATTGTTACAATTCAAGTGCTGGAATTTTCTGCATTGTCTCATCATTTCTCTTCCAGCCTTCTCATTTTTCGAGTAAATCCGGGTTTGCTAAGGTGGAAATGCGTCGCTAGGGTGAATACCAAAGTTAAATTTGAAACAGAAACTAGTGATTCGGAAATTTCCGTTGAGATTGGACTTGTTGAGTTCAAGGAGTTATGCGCTGAAGATTATATCTATGGAAGCATTTTCTTGATATTATATTGGAATGTCATGAATTTGGAATAAGTAGCTGAATATGTTTAGCCAAAAAAACGGATAAGAATGAGAGAGCGGATGCACAATTACTTCCTCCTTCGAATTCTCCGACCTATTTCAGCAGAACTGTTTTACCTTCTTCCAAGAGTTTGATCAATTTCACGAGAAATAAACTTTTAAAATTTTCACTCTGACCCAAATAGAGACAATGGACTGAAAAAGAAACTAAGATTTAACATATGCCAATAAATATTCCTGTACTGACATATATAATTTTCAGATGCAATTTTCATAATTCAATTAACTAATGATGAATCCGATAGAGAATATTATTTCTCACACTGCTAGTCCTCAATCACAATTAAAAGGTGTGTGTGTGTGTGTGTGTGTGTTTTAAGCAGAAAGTGTATGCGTGGATTAACGATGTCATCGACTTTTCCCAAAACAAGACATTGGTTGATCAATCACCATGACACCAAAGACAATCTGATTTGGAAACCTCCTGAAAACACACGTAAGAAGGAATTCAAACTCGGAAAAGTCCGTTGATCAGATGATTCTGGAACTCAGGTGAAATGGGGGCTCCTCTGACTTTTCTATTCCAACTTCTAAAGCCTAATTATCGATTTTTCAAGTTGAACAACATACATTTTCGGAACTTCTACTTGCTGCGTTTACGTGTTTTCCCATTATGAACACGGGAAGCAAACAACATAAAACAAGCAAAAATAAATAAATAAAATCAACAGATCAATATAAAAATCTGCCAGTTTTTGGTTAAGTCGAATTAGGCAATACAACCGCTTCACTGTATCACTTGTGAGAGGAACATGAGACATTCAGGTAAATCGGTCTATGACAAGGTTCGGTGATTAAACCTGTGATGTGAGGGTCTCTAGATGCTGTGAAGTGCATTTTTTGTAACGAGCCTCAAATGCACTCATAAGAACGCTTCGTTGTATTCACATTGGATGGGAGTGTAGAAAGTGCAAAATTCACCAGCACCGCGCCAAACTCTGTGGTCAGTTATTGCACATTGGAGGGTGAACTGATGAGCATTAAGAGGCAGTTCCATGAGGTAACATCGAGACCTTAGAGAAAAAGAGATTTTTTCAAGATATTATGGCTTACAGCTCAGCTGAATGTTTTTCACTGATGAAGTGATATCTCCTTTTTCGATAAAGTAGAGCAAGTTGTACTGTTCTGAGGACGATGTGTCCACTTCTGGCATTTCAAGAAAATTTTAAACATAGTTCACACGATGGCAAAATTGATTTAAAACGCCTTGGGTCGCCGCATTTCTCTAAAGTTACCTCTTTTATACCTTCTTTTTACAGAATACAGGGGATCCACTAATACAGACACATTGGACAACCCCATATTCCCCGATTTAAATCTCCGGATTTAAATCTCACTGAATTCAATTATGTTTGCATACAAGGTCTAAGTTTAACAGAAAGTGTCAGAGAGATTGTATGACATATCACTTATGAAGGAATTGCGATAACGATAGCATATCTACGAAGAATTCATTTGCACATATGCTCAACCTTCCCCAACGACTACTTCAAGGTGATTGCCCAAATTCAAAGACAATTAGTTTCATTAAAACTGGAGTTAAAAATGTTAAAAGCAGTCAAATTGTTTTACTGTGAAAAAATTGTACACTTGACATACACAATTGAGACAAGATAGACCAGCCCACCCCCTCCTCCACCCACCCACTCCAGAGTTGGCACCGTGTGACTTGAAATCAACGTGTGAGGGATGGCACAGACAAAACAAATAAGTCGCCTCGACGAAGGCGCTCTAAACTTGGCAATCGAGTACCTACCACTACGCTTTGGGGCAAAATGCACCGAATTGTTAAAATCATCCCACCTCAAAATCATTCCAATTATCGAGTGCTTCACCAACTGTTAATGGGGACCACTTAGAGAGGAGGGGTGGGGGAGAGGAGATCGCCTGAAGACAATTTTCACTTCGCATATAGTGGAACCATTTGCTCCTTATCGATTTTGTCAAACTACGTTGTACCTGAGTGGTGAGCGTTGCTATAATAAGTAGATCAACCAGATTAATAATATTCCACAGGCTAATTTCCTATTCTATTTCCGTCAAGAAGAAAATATAATTGAGTTCAATGCCACAATCAAGACGGTTGTCTACTGAACAGCTCATGCATGACCATATTACCTTCCACTCCATCTTAATGGTAGACGTTAATAGTACATATGACACGACGGTGACACACTTCAAAGGAAAGACACTCTTAATGGGGATTTGTAAACTACTAACATGATATTTATTGTAATAAAATATGCATAATGAAATAAAAGTTGCAAAAATAAGAACATTCTGGAGGAAACAACTGTCATGGAAATGTATTTCGCAGAGGTCGTTGAAACGGTCGGGTGATTCCACCAAAACGCAGTTGGCCAGACTCCTTGAAACCACCTAATCCCCCACCCAATCGTCGAGGTTTCCATCCTGGAAGTGTTCTGCTAAAACAGGGCTCCAAAATCATCTAGACGCAAAAAGAAAAGACACCATTAAGAACTGCGTTCTCGCGCATTTTCAGACTTGCCTCAGCATACCAACACTTCTCTACTTCGTCTCGCACACTGCATTTATTTACACTCGTACCCTGGTGTTTTGAGTTCAACATTCTACCTGAAGAAGAAGACTGCAGAAAGCGTGTGCAATCAATGTGTGCTCATGTGCAAGTGGGTCAATGGAAGTGTGCATTTAAGTACACAGAGACTGGCCTGCTGCGTTGTCAGAGTTAAACAAGAAAGGTACGAAGAAAATGCTAAATGGGGCGAAATCGCTCTCAATTACATTCCTCAACGTGCTGAGGATATTGTGAGAGGGAATTTGGGACAGTAAGAATGCTAGTTCTAATCAACGAATCGGTTAATAAGCAGTGAATGTCGAGGACAACAAAGAGTTGAGCCATCTGTGAGACGAATTAGAATATTTGAATTCGGGAACATGAAGTACC